AACCCAGGAGGCGGAGGTTGCGGTGAGCCGAGATCGCGCCATTGCACTCCAGCCTGGGTAACATAAGTGAAACTCCGTCTCAAAAAAAAAAAAAAAATGTTTTTAGTATCACTGTTGCCTATACACATGGTTCAGGATCTTCTCACAGATTTTTGCTTTAGCAAGCTAAGGTTTATCTTAAGTGGTTGTTTCATTATTAGATTCTTACAGTGATAATTTAAAAAAAAATCTTCAGACTTTTTCACCCATAAATAAGCTGTGGTTATTACTAAAACACTGACCCTATTTGACAGTGGAGTAAGGTGAGTAAAATCTACTTTTGAGAGAAATATATAAAATTTCATCTAGTAAATTTTTTCAGAGAATCAAATGGTTCTGCAATACAGAAGCATTTTACTTATGTTACTCCACCGAAGTCCTGGGCCAGATAAGCACTCAGATGTTTTGGTAAAACTCTCAAGCTCATCTTCCCACTCACTTTTTTGCACTTTACAATCAATTTATTATCTAGGAATTCAGGCTGTAAAATAACTAGCTATTCACAGTACAGATTCCCTGGCGGCTATATACACCATTAAGAAAAGCCTAAAATATTGACTTATCGGCCAAACATGTTATCTCACACCTGTAATCCTAGCACTTTAGGAGGCCAAGGCAGGAGGATCATTCAAGCCAGGAGTTTGAGACCAGCCTGGGCAACATAGTGAGACCCTGTTTCAATTTTTTAAAAATGGACTTATTAAGACATATATAAGTACATTGATTTTAGTATCTGATACTGTGTAGTTTCTGTAAATAGTGGCATTTTGTTACCCTCTACTGGAATTGGTAAAAAAAAAATAAAATAATTCTAATAGGATGTCAGTGTTTCCTTCTCAAGTAGGTCTCCTTCCTGCTAACTTGCAACTATATATCTGTTCTAAACATAAGGAATTTCTTACAGTTTTCCACTGAGAAAATCTGAAATGTGGCCAGGTGCCATGGCTCACACCTGTAATCTCAGCACTTTGGGAAGCTAAGGCATTAGGATCACTTGAGCCCAGAAGTTTGAGACCAGCACTGGCAACATAGGGAGACCCCATGTCTACAAAAAATTTTAAAAATTAGCTGGGTATGATGGTATGCACCTGTAGTCTCAGATTTTTGGGAACTGAAGCAGGAGGATAACTTGAGCCATGGAGGCTGAGGCTTCAGTGAGCTGTGACTGCAAAAACTCTGTCTCCAAAAAAAAAAATAAAGAAAAGAAAAAGAAAATCTGTAATGTTACTCTTTGTACTTGTTAAAATGGTATTTTAAATGCTTCCTTTTTTCCTGCAGGTATTCTTGGCGTTACCAGCTGAGAGAATTTAAAAGTGAATATCGAGTTGTAGCACTGGATTTGAGAGGCTATGGAGAAACAGATGCTCCCATTCATCGAGAGAATTATAAATTGGACTGTCTAATTACAGACATAAAGGATATTTTAGATTCTTTAGGTAGGTTAGTTTAAAACAAAACAACTCTTTTTAAGGGACAAACATTCAACAAATTGTGAATTAATGACTTCTTGGGAGGATGCATATTCCATCTACCCAAACTTCTCTGGATCCTGTCACCACGGTTTCAGGTAGTCCGCCCAAAATGTCTATAAAGGAAATTTGAAATGATGTATCCGGAGCAACTATTCCATCTACCAGACAAGAATGACTTCAGATTTGTTTTTAAAAATAGACCTAATGGGCTGGGTGCTGTGACTCACACCTATAATCCTAGCACTTTGGGAGGCTGAGGCAGACGGATCACCTTAGGTCAGAAGTTCAAGACCAGCCTGGCCAACATGGTGAAACCCTGTCTCTACTAAAAGCACAAAAATTAGCCAGGCATGGTGGCAGATACCTGTAATCCCAGCTACTCAGGAGGCTGAGGCAGGAGAATTGCTTGAACCCAGTAAGCATAGGTTGCAGTGAGCCAATACCGTGCCATTTGCACTCCATCCTGGGCAACAAGAGCGAGACTCTGCCTCAAAAAAAAAAAAAAAGACCTAATGTATGCTGTTTATTATTTTCAGAAATTATTACTGAAAATTTTATTCTTGTACTTAGAAAATTTATTCCTTTAGAACACATACCTAAATATTCATTTTAAAATGTAATAAGATACAGAAGCATTATTTCTGTTGTATCAATCAGTTAGAACCACATAATATTGTGTAATAAATAACCTCAGATCCGGTGGCATAGGGTCATAACCATTTTTTCCTGCGCTCATGGATCTGCAGGTTAACCTTAGCAGGGACTCCTCTGGTCTTTACCTCAGGCTGCAGGTCCAGCTGGGACTGGCTTCTCTCTGTGAGTTGGGCTGGAGCCCAAGATAAAGGGGAGTGGCTGCCTGAGGGAAGCTTTTCTCCTGGCGTTGGTAGAGGGTGAGCCTAGCTGCACAAGTTTAAGTTTCTACCAGCAGCCCATTGGTCAGAGCAAGTCATATGGTGGAGCCCAAATTCAAGTCATACAGCCTCCATGAGACCAAGGCAAATCACATGGCCAAGTCTAAAATCAAAGGGGCAGCAAGTAGACTCCTTCTATGACAGTAGGAAGAAGGAGAGAGTAAATATTTTTTAACAATAATCCAATCTATTAATACAATATCCCTTTTGACTGAAATCAAGCTGCTATCATCGGTATGTAAATGGAACCAATATGGTGAGAAACACCATGAAATCAAAGGCACTTTCTACAGTAATCTAATGAGAGCATAGATCAGACCAAAATTTTTAGGGGAGAAAAAAATGGATGAGGTCTGGGGGTGTCACATGCAATATTGTCATTTAGTCTGATTATAGCAAAAGAGACTCAGACACTGATTTTGAACAATTATATTTCAGATTTTGTGATAATTCAGTCAGACCTGGCCTAAATTTGTCATCATGAGATTTTTAGGCAAATAATTAATATAAACAAGGTGTATGTGTGTGTGTCTATGTCTATGTGTGTGTATTAGTGTAGTGGTGAGAAGTGATGGTGAAAAGTACTTCCTTGAAAGAATTAAGCAATTTTAAGTACTCCAGGAATAAATTACAAATGAATTTTATCCATCCATACAATGGAAATCCGTAGGAATCTCTATTAATCAACATTTTAACCTACTTTAGATTTCTGAGTGATTACATGAAATGAAACTGGTGCAAAATTGACTTTTCATTACTTCAATTTGATTTCACAGTTCCAAATTAGTTGCAAATTTTCTGTGTTGAGTTGTACATAGAATTTATGAAGTTAGGGAAGAAATAGATGCTTCCTGGAAATAAATATTTATGAGTTGGACATAGATGACGCATTTATAATTTTACTATAACTAGAAATTTCTGAGCATTCAAAAAATAACCCAGGCTGGGTGCAGTGGCTCATGTCTGTAGTCCTAGCACTTTAGGAGGCCAAGGTGGGTTGATCACCTGAGGTCAGGAGTTCAAGACCAACCTGACCATCATGGTGAAACCCCATCTTAAAAAAAAAAAAAGAAAAAAAAAAAACAAATAACCTTGCTTATGACTTTATGTCCAGTCTTTACCATGGTTTCCAAACTCGGGTCCATGGGACAAGAGCTGAGTAATAGTAGCTAGTTCAGATTTTTTTTGCTTGTTTTGTACCCCCTAGGGTCTCAGTCTTGCTCTGTCACCTGGGCTGGAGTGCAGTGGCATGATCATGGCTCACTGCAGCCTTGAACTCCTGGGCTCAAGGGATCCCCCCACCTCAGGCTCTAGAGTTGCTGCTACTACAGATGGGCACCACCACACCTGGCTAATTTATTTTTTTGTTGAGATGGTGGCAGGGGGGTCCGGCTGTGTTGCCCAGGATGGTCTCGAACTTAAGTAATCCTCCTGCTTTGGCCTCTCAAGTGTTGAGATTATAGGTGTAAGCCACCACACTGGCCTATTTCAGATTATATAAATACGTGTGTGTGTGTGTGTGTGTGTGTGTGTGTGTATGAATTCCTGGAAGAGATTCTCAATCTATAGGTTTAGAGTGGAGCTATCTAAGTGATGTACAGACAAGTTTTGGAACCACTGAATTATGTATAAAGTGCATAATTAGGATAAGATAATGAAAAGAGATGTTTCAGAAGTGTAACTATTTTATGTGAGGTAACAGTGCACTCACCTGTTTCTTTTTAATGATGTCAACATTTATTTCTTGATTACAGGGTATAGCAAATGTGTTCTTATTGGCCATGACTGGGGGGGCATGATTGCTTGGCTAATTGCCATCTGTTATCCTGAAATGGTGATGAAGCTTATTGTTATTAACTTCCCTCATCCAAATGTATTTACAGGTGAGTTCAAGTTTTCATCAAAACAGTACTGCTAATATGACAGTTCACTCTTGCCACTGACATTTTGGATTATGAACAGCAAAATTTAGTTACTATAATATTTTAAAATTAAGTGACTAAACCATGATAGCACATGACAGTGTATAACAGATACCTTGGTTTTAAACCTTTCTGAGGAATCTAAGAAAATTTAGCTTTATGCTTGCTTGCATAATTTTATTCCTTCAAAAAATATTTTACTGTTAACTTGGGGAGGGATAAAGGGGAAAATGCAATGACTTTGCTTTAACAATAATGAATCTTGATAGCCTGGAAATATATTCTTTTCTTGCTTGACTGCTTTGGCTGTCAGGAATAGCAGTATTCTTTAAAGCAGCAGTTCTGACATTTTTGGTCTTGGGGTTCTTTAAGATCTTAAAATTATTAAAGATCCCACTAAGCTTTTAATTATATGGTTTATAAGTATTCATGTATTAGAAGTCAAAACAGAAATGTAAAAATATGTATGCTGGCCGGGTGTGGTGGCTTACGCCTATAATCCCAGCACTTTGGGAGGCCGAGGCAGGTGGATCACGACGTCGAGAGATCGAGACCATCCTGGTCAACATGGTGAAACCCCATCTCTACTAAAAATACAAAAATTAGCTGGGCATGGTGGCTCAGCCTGTAGTCCCAGATACTCGGGAGGCTGAGGCAGGAGAATTGCCTGAACCCAGGAGGCGGAGGTT